CTCCTTGACGGTTCGGGGCGATTGCATGTCAATCACCGCCTGGACCTTCTCCGGATTGGCCTCTATGCCTCTTTGATCAATCAAGAATCCGAGAAACTTCCCAGACTCAACACCAAAGACACACTTCTTGGGGTTAAGCATGACCTTGTGCCGCCTGAGTGTGGTGAAGGTTTCTCGGAGATCAGCTAGGTGGTCCGCCTGGAGCTTGGATTTGACTATCATGTCGTCTATATATGCCTCTACATTCCTTCCGATTTGATGGATGAAAACCGTGTTGATCATTTGCTGGAAGGTAGCAGGCGCATTCTTCAACCCAAACGGCATCACCGTGTAGCAATACAACCCCTTATCAGTGACGAAGGCCGTCTTTTCTTGATCCTTCTTCCATAGGGGAATTTGATGGAAGCCTGAGTAGGCGTCCATGAAGCTCATCAGAGCATGGCCGGCTGTAGAGTCAACTAGACTGTCTATCTTAGGAAGCGGGTAGCTATCCTTTGGACATGCCCTGTTCAGGTCCGTGTAGTCTACACACATCCGCCAGGTACCATTCGGTTTTTTGACGAGGACCACATTAGCTACCCAATCCGGGTAGTAGCATTGCCGAATGAACCCAGCGTCAAGGAGCTTTTTTACCTCGGCGGCTGCCGCCTGTGACCTCTCCTTGCCGTGATCCCTCTTCTTTTGCCTAACTGGCTTTATTTTGGGATCAATAGTTAGCTTGTGGACGGCTAGATCCGGGCTGACGCCTGGCATCTCTTCCACTTCAAAAGCAAAGAGGTCTTTGAACTCTCTCAGGAGTTGGAGCAAGTCTGCCCCTAACTTTTCAAAAGCAACCGTCCCAACTTTAATGGTTCTGTCAGGACGGCTGTCGTCCAGGACGACATCAATGCTTTCACCAGCCGGCTGGGGACGGGAGTCATCCGGCCTTTCCCCGGCTAGTGATTGCTATTTCATTTTCTTAGCGGGGGCCAATTGATCCGCCTTTCTCTTTGTACCGCCTGCCTTAGGGACAGGCCCGACTTCTTTGTCATCGAGGTCAGTAGGTTCCTTGCTGGGGCCGGCTGCATGGGCAGTCGGCCTAACGTCTGAGAGATAGCACTCTCTAGCCGCCTTTTGGTCCCCGCTTAGGGAGCCTACTGACCCATCATCCCTCTCGAATTTTATCAGCATGAGGGAGGGGATGATGACCGCCTTGGACTCATTGAGGGTTGGACGTCCCAATATGAGGTTGTAGGCAGTCAGCTCTTCGACCACCAAAAACTTGACGACCATGTGCCGTCCTTCCCCCTTGCCTCCCAGCCGGATGGGTAAGTCTAATCTACCTACCGGATGCACTACCCCACCTCCAAAGCCGACTAAGGGGTGGGGGGCCTTGTGCATACTGCTGGGCTTGTATTTCAGCTTCGCCAAGCAGCGATAGCTTATCAGGTCAGACGAGCTCCCGGTATCAATTAGGATGCGGCCAACTCGTTGATTGGCAACTTTACATTCGATGACAATGGGGTCATCGTGGGGCCGCCTAACCGTACCCCTGTCTTTCTCAGAAATGAAGACCTCTGGGAAGACGTCTTTCGATGCCTGGCCTTCGTCCTCTGAGGCGGACAACTTCCTGATGTTGTCCTTGACACCCCGAATGGTGGGACCTCCACTAGCGAAGCCGCCTGCAATGGTGTAGATATGCTCTTCATCTGTGTCAGAGCTCACCACCGGCTTCTTAGACGATTGTCCTCCATTTTTAGGGTTACCCTTGGACTTTGTCAGATAGGACTTCAAGGCCCCTTCATCAGCCAATCGATCCAATAGCCGCCTGAGGCTGTAGCAACCATTAGTGTCTTGGCCAATGTCCTCATGGAATTGGCAATACTTGCTCTTATCCCGATTTTTGACAGCGCTCTTTAGAGGAGCCGGCTTCTCAATGGTCAACCGGTTTTTTATCTCCATGAGGATGGAGGAACAGTCCTTGTTGAACTCGTACTTGGGGACGTACGGTTCCAACTTCTTCTGTTTCTTTTGGGATGACTGACCTGGGCGGTTAGCAGCCCAGGCTTCTTTTCTTTTCTTTTCTTCTTTTTTGGCCGGCTGATGGAACCAGCTCTCTTTTACGTCAGACCGCCTAGGTTCTGACGGGTGCTTAACGACACAGAGCTCCGTCACCTGTATATAGGCTTCAGCCTCCATTAGTGCCTCCTGGAGGGTAGCAACTCTCTTGCGGACTAGGTCGAACTTGAAAGTTGACCCATCTTTCAGACCCTTGAAGAAGTCTGTGTACGCAACTTCGTCAGACAGTCCTTGTATCTGAATTCTCATCAGATTGAACCGCCTGACATAGGACCGAAGTCCCTCCTTGTCACCCTGCCGGATCGCCCCTAGGTCGAGACTGGTTTTCTTGGCCGGGATGTTCATGGAGAAGTTGGACGCGAACAAATATGCAAGCGTTTTAAAGTTATTGATGCACCCAGCCGGCAGGTTTCCAAACCACCGTTGGGCTATGCCCTTTAGTGTTGCCAGGAAGCATCGACACCAGGCGGCGTCATCCAACCCCTGTAGGTACATGAGGTTGGTGTAGGCCATCAGGTGATCTTCCGGGTTGGTGGTACCATCGTAGGTGCCTACCAACACGTTTTTAACCTTAGCCGGCTGTGCCACCTCGGTTATTTCCCGGGAGAAAGCCGAAGGCTGTTCTCCTAGGCTCAGCAGCTGGAGCTGCCAGTCCATGGGCTGGACGGTGTTTTTCGCCATTCCCCCAAAAGGAGAATGCTGCATGTATGGTGATCCAGCTCCATATGGTTGTTGAGGCACAAATGGAGCCTGGTGGATCACATGAGGAGCAGTACGGACAGAAATGCCGTGCGTCTGGCTCTTAGGGTGAGTTTCCGAATGCTTGATCAAAGAATTACAGAAACTGTCTGGGTATGTCGACGTAGAAGCCGTCTGGGACATACTCTGACCTCTCTTATCCTGGATAAACAACCGGGCATCTGTGAAGGTCTTTTGTGACCCATCCGGCTGTATTTGCCGGATGGCCTTTCGCAGCCCTGATTCAGGGAAACGAATTTTTGAAAGGTCAATTAGAAGCCCATCTCCCCCTTTAGGCTTCGGGTGAGGAGTAGGCACCCGGTCTTTGATTGACTTCTTTACTGAAGCCCTCTTAGCCGACTGGCCCTTGCTGGAGCCAGCTGACTTCTTGATGATGTCCGTGATTTCCCCTTTGAAACTACTCATGAGGTTCATGAGCTCATCTCTGGTGACGGGGGACGACCCCTCCGCCACCTGGGGTTGTCCAGTATGCTTGCCGCCTGGGTTGTTGGGGCAAGCCTTGTCTTGGCCCCGTTCCTTCCTTTCTCTGGAACGGGTGCGCCTGGAGCGGAAAGACCCGTCTGGGGCTATAGGTTTCGACATTGTAGTTGTCCCCACTTCCGCTTTCATGGTCCGTGTGGACCTCAGGGTCATCCGTGGGCCGGCTGCCCTCTAAGTTTGGTACATTTTCAGATGCCATCCAAGTGGTACTCTCCCCACAGACGGCGCCAAATGTTTCGGGGTTTTTTGAGGTGTCCTACGGGAGAGTTACAGCACCGGGAATGTACGCCTGACTTCTGTACCTGCAAAACCATGAAACTCCGGTTGGGTGGAGTTCCGCCTCCGACGGTCAAGTTAGTATGATTCCGGATGAAATTACGTACGGAAGATAAATTGGTTCTCTCGGATTCCGGGAGATTCCACAATTAATATTGCTCGGGTTTTTATGGGCGTATTTATGAATATCAATAAATGAGGTAGATTCCTCTATTTATAGCAGATGGGTCTGCTCCCCCATTGGGGGTACAATGCCACGTGGCATCCATTGGTTGGATGCCCATGGTGCAATAGGGTGATGACACGTGTCAGACCCCTATAGGGCCACGTGTCCAGGGTAATTTTTACCCTAAACAATAGTAGTTCATTTATATTAGTAGCTCATCAAATTCTACTAAAAAACATATCAAATGAGATAAGTAAGCATTAGATAATTGAGTAAAGCATATAAGAAGAATAGCCAAAGCACACACTAAATAGGTAGGCAGAGAGTTTATAATACAAGGATCTGTTGCTGAATTCTTACGCATAAGAGTAGCAAGCAAAAGAGGCATATTTTCGAGGCCGGTGCCAAATTTTTGAGGATTTGGCATCCCTCAAATCCCCAACGGTTCAAAACCGGTGCCTTAGGGGGGTTTGAACCGGTGCCAAATTAGGTTTTTCTTCTAGTGTTTAGTCAATTAATTAAGTCGGCTTTTCCTTTGGTTCTTTCATTTGGGTGGGTGGAGAATACATTATTGTTAGAAGTCCAATTGCAATAACTTGGAAATAATAGTATTTAGATAATTAATGGGTTATCTCTGTATAATCATATAGTAATTGGAAAAATAAAGGAACATTTTTTTTTATAGGTTACATAATTGATTTTGGATTGATTAGAATTTCTCTAACTTATGAGTTTGATTGTTGAAAATTTTGCTTCCTTCATTTAACTTCCCTTGAATATACTTTTCTTTATCGTGTAAGTAAGAAGTTTGACTTTGGAAGTTTCTACTTTGACATGGGACAAAATCACAAAACTAAATGGCCAATGAAAATTTGGATTAAATCCATGAAGACTATTCATTTGTTTTCATTTAATTAATATTGCAACAATTTAACTACTTCGTATTATATTTATCAACGCTCAACATTGTAAAAATAGAATGCGAGAAAAGTTAACATATAAATGAAATATATAGATGAGAATAAGCGAAAAAACTAGTTAACATAAAAAAGCGGTAAGTGCTTTTAATTATGAGTTGCTTCTCACTATATATGGATTTCAGGCTAAGAAATGGGTGTCAAGGGCTTCTAGGGTAAGATCATCAGTTTGGAGAGTGGGCGGAAAGCATCCTGGTATCTTACTCTGACTGTCCTTGTTCTTGCTCACTAATATCATTCTTACCTTTTCCCTTAATCTGGTTTTCTATTTGTGTTCTATATAGGCTATAATGAAAAAGATTCAGAGGAATTTTTGGGCGAAGCATTGACCTTGGCATTGACCTTCTAGTTGAGAGTGTTGAGACTTTATAGGTACTCAGGTATATATATAACTTTATGTGCTATATATAAGTTCTTGTTTGCTCACTTTTGTGGAGATGGTGTATGATATAACTTTAGTGCAACTTCTATCATGATGTGTGATTAATCCATTGTTTTTTAATTGATTGCATGTATCATCATATGCCTAGATACCCGTCCAAGGCTTTCTCATTAGGAGAAAGTCTTGAATAGTCCCCGGTTGGGCCTGTTCTTGAACGTTTACTCTCACTTAGGCGGTGAATGTATGTCTTTTTTTTCGATTTTAAGGAACATCTTGGCTTACCATTTCCTCGATCACTATGTTCTCTGGGTACATATGTGGGTAAGTAATTACCTACGTCGTGTACTTGGAGAACTGGGGGGAAATGCTGCCGGATTTTCCTTAAAATTGGAAAGTCGACATACATTCACTAGTGAGAGTAAACATTCAAGGATGGGTTAGGTTGGAGTGGTAAGGACCCTTTGGAAGCATATATGCATTTTTGTATCTATATGCATGAATGTTATATGCATGTTGTGTGTTTGAATTTGATTTATATATATAATAGATGTAGCAATTATACATTATTCGTAATATGTTGCCATGTTTTGAGACAATTTACTTAATGGAGAAGGATCGTGGCTGGATGTATGGTAGACGTGATACATTGGAATTCTTTGATGGGGTTCAAGAGTTTTGCGAGAGGGCTTTATCTTATCAGCGCAGAATGGGTTTCGATTGCCTCTATTGTCCTTGTGTTGATTGTAATAATGTGAAGGTGGTCAATAGTGTTGATATCATTAGAGATCATGTAGTTTGTCGTGGGTTTAGGCTTAAATACCATGTGTGGATTTGGCACGGTGAAGATTGAGAGTACAGTGGGGATGTTATTGGGAATGATGTGCATGATGATAGAAGCAGTGACATTTGTGTGGACGAGGAATACAAGAATGATGAACATATTGTTGATGATGGTGCTGAGGATGGATTTGAGGATGATCATGTGGATGAGGTCGAGGATGAAGGGGTGGATGAGATGATGCGTGGTTTTGAAGGTGGTGTGTTTGAGTCATTATCGGAGGCTTCTAAAAAGCCTTTGTATCCTGGGTGCAAAAAATACTCTAAACTATCCGCCGTGCTAACACTTTTTAACATTAAGTCGAAGCATGGGTGGACGGACAGTAGTTTTACTTCTTTGTTGAGCGCGTTGAGTGAGATGTTGCCCGACGGGAATGAAATTCCTAAGTCTTACTATTACGCTAAGAAGCTCGGAGTATAAGATGATACATGCATGTCCTAATGATTGTATTCTTTATCGAAATGAATATGAAAAATTTGGAGGAGTGTCCACGATGTAAGAAGTCGCGCTACAAGCGCATGAGTTGCAATGCTGGTAAGAAGGGACCGCCTGCTAAAGTGTTGTGGTATCTTCCCATTATTCCAAGGTTTAAGCGTCTATTCTCAACACCAACAGACGCTAAAAACTTGAGGTGGCATGCAGAGGGAAGAAAGAATAACAGAATGCTGAAGCATCCAGCAGACTCCCCGCAATGGAAGAACCTTGATATCAAGTTTGGAGAATTTGGTGATGAAGTTAGAAATTTAAGGGTTGGTTTGTGCACGGACGGGATGAATCCATTTGGCACTCTTAGTACCCAGCATAGCACATGGCCGGTACTGTTAGTGATCTACAATTTGCCTCCTTGGTTGTGCATGAAACAGAAATACGTAATGCTTTCTCTATTGATATCGGGGCCAAGGCAACCTGGAAACGACATAGATGTTTATCTTGCGCCCCTTGTTGATGATTTGAGAAAGATGTGGGACGAAGGGGTTTCTGTTTTTGATGCTCATAAGAATGAGATGTTCACATTGCATGCAGCTCTTATGTGGACCGTTAATGATTTTCCTGCGTATGGCAACTTGTCTGGGTATAAGAACAAAGGGAAAAAAGCATGCCCCATTTGTATTGATGATATGCCAAGCAGGCGCCTTGATCATTGTCACAAAGAGGTGTACTTGCAAACTCGAAGGTTGCTCAGGCGCGATCACCCGTACCGTAGGCAGAAAAAGGCTTTCGATGGGACAGCAGAAGAGGGGACTGCTCCTAGGCCGTTGACTGGTGAGGAGGTTTACGCTCGAGTAAAGGGTGTACGAACAGTCTTTGAGAAATCAGAAAAAGCGGCGGAGTCAACTGCTCTCTTTAAAAAAGAATCAATCTTTTGGTTGCTCCCGTACTGGAAAGAACATGATGTTAGGCACTGTCTTGATGTAATGCATATAGAGAAGAATGTGTGTGATGCTCTTGTGGGAACGCTGATGAATATTCAAAGCAAGACAAAGGACGAAAAGGGTGCACGGGACGATTTGAAAAAGATGGGGGTGCGTCCAGAATTGTGGGTTCAGCAAAGGGTTAGTAAGGGAAAGGAACAGGAAAAGGAAAATGAATTGAGTTCGAAAACAGGAAAGGGGAAGAGCAAGGGAAAGGGAAAGGCCACGGATGCGTCGAAGAAGAAAAATGAGGGAAAAGCCAAGGAGGGCAAGGCCTATTTACCTCCGGCTTGCTACACATTGTCAAGGGTAGAAAAACGGATGTTTTGTGCATGTCTGTATGGCATTAAGGTTCCATCAGGGTACGCATCTAACATGAAAAGATTTGTATCCTTAAATGGAGAATTGAAGTTGACAAGTATGAAATCCCATGATTGTCATGTTCTGATGCAAGTTTTCCTACCAATTGCAATACGTGGTATTTTACCAAAGCATGTGAGGGAACCTATTACAAGCCTCTGTTCGTTTTTCAATACAATATGCAGCAAAGTGCTTGATCCTTGTACACTTGATGCTTTACAGGCGGATGTGGTTGTGACTTTGTGCAAATTTGAGATGTACTTCCCACCCTCATTTTTTAACATAATGGTGCATTTGATTCTTCATTTGGTGTGTGAGATTAAGTTATGCAGTCCAGTGTTCATGCGGTGGTGCTATCCTTTTGAAAGACATATGGGTACATTGCAAGATAAAGTTAGGAATCGGGCTCACCCGGAAGGAAGTATGATTCAAGGGACCGTGGTTGAGGAGGTCGGTAATTTTGTGGCCGACTATATAGCCGCTGCTAAACCTATTGGTATTCCTACTTCTCGACACGAAGGGAGACTTGATGGTCATGGCACAATCGGGTCGTTCTTACAAGCGCACCTATATGTGTTGCAGATGTTCACCCATATTTAGACGAGCACATGGCTAGTTTGCGTGATGAATTTCCATTGAAAGGTGAACGGGCACTGATGCAGTTGCATAATAAGAAGTTTGTGAGTTGGTTTTGTGATCGAGTGATGGGTGGAAAGTATGAGAGTGTCACATATACAGTAAGGTGGCTTGCTTATGGTCCTAGGGATGACGTTCGCTCATTTGAGGGATATGACATAAATGGGTACACATTTTGGACTGAGCATCAGGATTTGAAATCATCCTCGACCCAAAACAGTGGTGTAACACTTGTGGCATCGTCAAGGGAGTATGCAAGTGCTAAGGATAAATCACCTGTCGATGCAGAGTTGTCATACTACGGTCGAATTCAAGAAATATGGGAGCTTGATTATTGTGACTTCACGATTGCTCTTTTCCAGTGCAAGTGGGTTGATAATATCAGGCGTAACGTCAAACATGATGACTTTACTCTTGTAGATCTTGGCCACCTGAATGATAGTGCTGAACCATTCATCCTTGCATCTCAAGCCAAGCAAGTGTTTTACGTAAGTGACCCAGCCGACTCAAAATGGTCTATTGTGCTAGCCGGCAAAAGAAGAATCCTTGGCGTTGGAGATGTCGAGGATGAGGAAGAATATGATGCGTTTGATGACTCGACACCTTTCACTGTTCCTAGACCTGTTGTACCAAATGAGATAGACGACCAAGCCAATTACATGCGATCAGACCACGACGAAGGAATATTAGATTGAGGTACTATTTTTTTTTAGTTTGAAATTGTAGGCGTCGAAAGTATTATTAAATCACATTTTTAGGTGAAAATGAATGAAATTGTTAACTTACTTGCCCATTTTTCTTATTTTCTTTTAAATGAATGAAGTAACTTACTTGCCCATTTTCGATGTTGATTTGTATTACAATTGAGCAATTTATATTTGATTATAACTTTACCTTACAAATTTATTTATATTACAACTAATAACTTGTTATGTTTGTAATGACAGGTTTTTACATCTCATGGCGGACGATCGGTACATTTTAGGAGTCGAGGATGTAGAGGATGATGATGATGATTCATCCGGGGATGGGGACGAGCTATATGATGTCAATAAGGAGCAGGATTTGGGTGAGGCAGAAGATCAGGCTCACGATGCTTTGGAGCGTATGTTAGATGAGTTTGAAATTGCAGCTGAACAAGCGCCTCCTATCAAAAATGCAATGTCTGAGTCGTTTGATGAGAATCCTAGTGGAGGGGGGGGGGGGGTAAAGGGACTAGCGAAAAAAAGCTGAGGGGTCCGACGACAAGTTTCAAGAAACCTGTCGGTCCAATGGTCCTGGAGTATGACAGGGTAGGACAACCTACAGGCAAATGGCGTCGTCAGTATGCTGTTCAAGTTGGGATTTGTGCTCGCAAAATCCCCATTACTCTTCGTTTGAGCGACGTACCTATTGGCTTGATAGACACGTTTTGGAATGATACAAGGGTAAGTGATTTGTTTCCACATTTATAAATTCCTTCAATTTATTGTTATTTAATGGGCAAACTAATAATGACTGTTATTTGTGCTTGCAGAGTCTATTTAACATTCCAAATGAGTACGCAAATCGAAGGGTGTTTGAATCCTTACTTGCAACAAGATTCAGAGGCTTCAAGACCACCTTAGTTCGTCGGTTAATCACAAAGAAGCTTGTGAGAAAACCAAAGAACAAGAAAGGAGGTGGCATGGATGATGAAGTCATCGATGAAGAGAAACTCCCATGGCAAATATGGCCTAGTATATCAAAGGAAGATTGGGATGCTTTTGTTCTTCAAAAAAGCAAAAAAGAAGCAATTGTAAGTTCAAGTAACTCTGATGACAATTGTATAATATATTTAATATTTTGGTAGTTTTGAAACTAATATGTCTAATTATGTAGGAAATAAGGGAGCAGAATTCCAAGAATGCATTGCAGAAGCAATACTACCATCGTATGGGGTGTATGACGTTTGATGAATGGAGGGAGACGTGGGTGAGTGAGTGAGTATACCCCACTGCGCTTCTAGGGTCCTCTACAGTGCCCTCTGACTCCACGACCAGTACTTTGGTGAGTCGTGCCGGAGATTTCTTCTGTTCTTTGCATTCTCGTGATAAGAAAATCGGAAAATGGTCCATCAAGACTCCGAAAACGAAAGAAATGACAGATAAACTTGTAAGCAACTATGAATTGTGAACTGCATGAATCTTTTGCATATATATCACTTTACATAAACACTAACTTGGTGTTGCCTTTTTGGTTTTGCTACAGCTTGAGTACACTGGAGAGCTTCTTGAAGGCAAGCTCGTCCCAACAGTGGAGAAGGACCCTTTCACCTTGGCTTTGGGAAAGCCCTACCATCCAGGTTGCGTATTGGGTGCGGGGGGGGGGGGGGGAGCTTGCTAGGATGGGAGAAGGTGATGGGCCCGGAATATACCAAATCAGGGAGATCCCGGGCAAGTGTGAACTCACCGGTCAACTTGGATGCCACGGTGGCATCAATTAAGGAACAAGTGCACAACGAGATGTGAGAAGAGTTCAATGCATGGGCAAAGCAAATGAACTTGCCGAGCTTGCCTTTCTCCTCGACTAAACCGGTCGACTCTTCTAGTCACCCACGAAAACAAGGAGAAGATGAGATACATGCAGACGAGGAGGTACATGATCAACTGGTTTCACAAGTGCACCAGTGCACAGAACCAGTGCACAACTGCACCAGTGCACAACACTAGTGCACCAGCACCAGTGCACAGCACCAGCACCAGCACCAGTGCACAGCACCAGGCACCAGTGCACAACACCAGCACCAGTGCACCAAGCACCAGTGCACTGCACCAGCACCAGTGCACCAGCACCAGTGCACCAAGCACCAGTGCACTGCACCAGCACTAGTGCACCAGTGCACCAGCACCAGTGCACCAGGCACCAGTGCACTGCACCAGTGCACCAGGCACCAGGCACCAGTGCACTGCACCAGCACCAGTGCACCAGCACCAGGCAGCAGGCAGCAGGCAGTAGCTGTGTAGCAGTTCTGTTGCTACGCTGTTCCGATGTTGATCAGTTTTTCATTAGTTATTTTGCTCTTCCTTTTTTTTTCTACTTGTTTCTTACAAGTGATATTCCAAATTGGTGCAGGAAGAGACCCGTTGTGAACTTCTTCACCCGGGCGAATCGCTTAGTGGAGCTTTGAATGTCGTTGCATATGGTAGTGCACAACTGGCCGAACAAGGTAGGGTCCATTTGCGACCGCTTCGACTTGAGCATTATTCGGTCGGGATCCATTCTGTGGTTGCCGAGTTCGAGGACATCCTAATACCTGTGCCCGTAGAGGAGGATGAGTTTACTACACTTTGGGCGGCAAAGGTAGTTTTGTGCAATGGCCATGTGCTTGGATACGGTTGATGAACCAGGTAATTAAGATTTAAAGTTCAGGCTTTACTCTATACCCAATTTTCATCCCAAGAGTTGGATGAAATTCTTTTCTAACCATTTGTGTGATTTGTCTTATTAGCCATCGAGGAAAAGCCAAACTCCAAAGAAGAGGGTGGAGGGGCCAAAAAGCATTGATCAACCGATGCCAAAGAAGAGGAGTGAACATGGCTCGGTGAGTGGAAAAGCGTCAAACAAGAGCTCTTCACGAGGTTCAGCTATGCAAGCTACTCCACTAGTTGAAGACACGGTGCTTCAATCGCTCTCTAAGGAGTTAACTTATCTGCACAACCGTGTTTGCGTGTTGCCTAGTGACAGCCCCATTCAAGTTCCACTACATAAGGAAATGTTCCACTACGATGATGATGCAATGGCATGGCTATTCAAATAAGATGTGAAGGAATTTCTAAGTGGTGCAATGCTTAACATTTCCCTCATTCAAATATGCATCAGGTAATTCAACTAGTACTCAATTTATGTTATTCAGTTTAGTGGTGATTGTCGGTTGGTTTTCGATTAACATTCTATTATCATGCATGCAGAGCACTCCAGGAGCACTTATGGGAGCTTGGTTCTCCGTGTCAAATTGGGTGGTTATGCCCTGAGCAGATCTCCACTGCTAGAATCTTAGGCAACCACGCTGACGTGTTGTACTATGTTGAACGGGGTATCAAGGAATCAGTGCGTGCGGGAGACATGTTTATATTTGCCCCATATTATGAGGAGTACGTCAGATTATGCTTGTCAAATTCATTTGTTTTCCCAGTTTATATGCTGTACTTGCCTAATTATTGATTTGTTTGTCTCGTGTGAATGTATGTACGTAGTTATCATTGGACCCTACTGGTGATTTGTGTTTCCAGTAACACAATCTTCTTCTTTGATTCTGCTCGGTTACCTCAACCAAGAAAGCGCCTCGTGAAGTCCATACTGCAAAAGTAAATATACATAGCTTCAATTCTTGTTATTGATTATCATAACCTAACTCATATATATTAATTATACTAATCAAATTTGAACTTACTTTTCTATGTAGTGTTATGAAGAAGATAAATTCTCGAGCTCCTCGAGGTCCTACATGGAAATCACCGATGGTAATGCCACATGATATTGTGATTTTCGTAATATACAATGCGTAAGATGTTGCTAATTTGCTATGTATGTTTGATTCATGTACTTTTTTCCTCATGCTAGTGCGCACAACAAGATAACGGAGTTGATTGTGGCCTATACGTGATGAGATTCATGTTTGACATAGTGAGTCATTGTACAGACACACAACAGCTTGAAGAGGTATGCCGGTTTTGTTGAAATTGCGTTCCAAAACTCCTTAATTGCTATTTTCTTGTAATTTCAAGCCTTGGCCATCTATAAATAAGTGATAAAGACATGTTATGACTGTTTATGAGTTCACTAGACAAGAAATGTAGGAAATAGGCATCCTAGTAGTCAAAATGGCCTTACTCGGGCCATTTTGGTTGAAAATGCGTTCTAAAACCCCTTAATTGCTATTTTCTTGTAATTTCAAGCCTTGGCCACCTATAAATAAGTGATAAATACATGTTATGACTATTTATGAGTTCACTTACAAGAAATTTAGGAAATAGGCATCCTAGTAGTCAAAATGGCCTTACTCGGGCCATTTTGGTTGAAAATGCGTTCTAAAACCCCTTAATTGCTATTTTCTTGTAATTTCAAGCCTTGGCCACCTATAAATAAGTGATAAATACATGTTATGACTATTTATGAGTTCACTTACAAGAAATGTAGGAAATAGGCATCCTAGTAGTCAAAATGGCCTTACTCGGGCCATTTTGGTTGAAAATGCGTTCTAAAACCCCTTAATTGCTATTTTCTTGTAATTTCAAGCCTTGGCCACCTATAAATAAGTGATAAAGACATGTTATGACTATTTATGAGTTCACTCCTACTAACTTACGTTTTGTGTATGTATTCCAAGTTTTGCAAGGGACAAACGGGAAATCCGTTCACGAGCGAGGAACTCAATGTAATTCGAGACATTTTGGTGGCCTACATCACATTTAATTTGTAAATATCATTTATTTCTGTTTTAACTAGCTTAGTGTACTACATTATTACTAATTAATTATGTTTGGTTGTAGTTATGACACATTTTTCTAATTAATATCATATTTTGGGATTGTTATCAATATTTATGTCCTTGTTATTATTTTCAATTATTATTATTAATAATATATTAATAATACTAATTATTATTAATATTATAATAATAATAATTATTATTATTAATATTAATATTATAATAATAATAATAATTATTATTATTAAAATTAATAATAATAATAATAATAATAATTATTATTATTATTATTAATTATCGGTATTATGTACATGATCTCATTATTATTATATTTATTAGTATTAATATTAATATATATTATTGCCGAAAAAAAAACCAAGTTAAAGGCACCGGTAAACTGGTGCCTACTACATTGAATTTAATAAAAAAAAAATTGGCGCCATTAAAGTTGGCACCGGTTTTGAACCGGTGCCAAAATTTTGAGGATTTGGCATCCCTCAAATCCCCAACGGTTCGAAACCGGTGCCTTAGGGGGGGGGGGGGGGGTTTGAACCGGTGCCAAATTACCTTTTTTGTCTAGTGTATATTACATTGTAATTTCATATTATTCAATTTCTAGGGTTAGAATTTGTTCAAGTATTAGCATAGTTTATAACAATCTAAAGCGTTAAATAACAACATGTCTAGTGTGAAAGAACTCACCACTAATTTTTTCAAGCTCAAAAAGTTTGACGGTGTGGAATTTCGACGATGGAAGAAGAAGATGTATTTTCTTCTTACATCGTTGAAGGTTGCCTATGTGATTAGCACTCCTAGACCGGTAGAATATGAGAATGAAACTATGGAGGATGTGCGTGAGAAATCGAAATGGGATAATGATGACTTTATATGTCGGGGTCATATTCTCAATGGGATGGAGGATGATTTGTTTAATGTGTATCAACATGTTGAGTCGGCTAAAGAGCTATGGGAATCGTTAGAAAGCAAGTATGTGGCGGAGGATGCTTCTAGCAAGAAATTCCTTGTAAGTAACTTTAATGATTTCAAATTTGTTGATGGTAGATCAATTATGGACCAGTTTCATGAGATACAACGTATTTATAGTAACTTGAAACAACATGGAATCAATGTTGATGAATTGTTTGTTGTTTCGAGTATTATTGATAAGCTGCCCAATAGTTGGAATGATGTAAAACATGATTTGAAACACAAAAAGGAGGACATATCATTGTCCAATTTGGCTACCCATCTTCAAATTGAAGAAGGGATAAGGGCCATGGAGAAAGCTAAGGATGGAAATCCTAGCTCTTCCACCATCAATGTGGTGGAATGTGGAGGAAGAAGGCAAATCTAGTGCTTCAACTAGTGGTAAGTGGAAGATGTTTAATTCCTCTAAGGGCAAGTCCAAGAAACAAAAGGACAACAACAAGTATGCTTGTTGGGAGTGCGGTAAGACTGGACACCGCAAGAAGGACTGCTACATTTTCAAGAAGAAAATGGAGAAATCCAAGGATGGTCAAGCTTCTAAGAGCAAGGACCAACCCACCAAAGGTAATTTATTATATGAGGTTGAATTTAATTCCGGTATGGATTTAAATGCAACGGATCCTAACATTTTTATGGTGCAGGATGATGACTCATGGTGGATGGATTCGGGGGCTTCAAGGCATGTATGCAAGGTGAAGCATTGGTTCAAAACCTTTCACAAGGTTGGTGATGGAGAAGAGCTCTTTATGGGAAACAACTCTACCATCATGGTCCAAGGAAGAGGAAAAGTTGAGCTGATATTTATTCGGGCAATAGTATCATCCTTAGGGATGTATTATATGCTCCTAGTATTTCAAGAAATCTTGTATCTGGCCCTACCCTGAATCGACTTGGATATAGACTAGTTTTTGAAGCAGATAGATGTATTATTACTAAGGGTAGCACTTTTATCGGACGTTGTTATTTGTCTCATGGTTTGTTTAAACTCTCATTAAGAGAGAAGTCTGTAATGTTGAATGATGTTTGTTTTAATGTTGGTAATGACAATGGTGTGAATTTGTTTTCTTTATGGCATTCTAGATTAGGTCATGTGAATTACAATAAGTTGCATTTCATGTCTAAACTAGAGATTATTCCACCATGTGATATTGCTCTTGATAAATGCTCTACTTGCATGCTTAATAAGATCACTAGAACTCCTTTCAAGAAAGTTGAGAGATGTTCTAAGATCTTAGAATTGGTTCATAGTGATTTGTGTGACTTTTACAGTACACCTTCTTTGGGAAATAAAAGATACATAGTTACGTTTATTGATGATTTTTCAAGATTTTGCTATGTTTATCTTTTATATTCTAAAGATGAAGCCTTGGTTAAATTTGATATTTATAAGAAAGAGGTAGAAGTGCAGTAGAATCTTTAATTAAGAGATTGAGAACCGATAAGGGAGGAGAGTATTATGATCCTGCTTATTTCCAATCTTTGGGTATTATTCATGAGACTACAGCTGGTTATGCACCACAATCAAATGGTGTAGCTGAAAGGAAGAACATAACTCTTCAAGAAATGGTTAATTCCATGCTATCTTACTCCGGTTTGAGTGAAGGGTTTTGGGGTGAAGCTATGTTGACGGCCTGTCACATACTTAACCGTGTTCCCACTAAGGGAAAGAATTCCACTCCTTATGAACTTTGGTACAAAAGGAAACCAAACTTGAAGTATCTCAAGGTTTGGGGTTGTAGGGCAGTTGTTAGAGTGCCCGGTAACAAAAAGAGAAAGCTCGGTGAAAGGGGCTTGGAATGCATTTTTATAGGTTATGTTGAGCATAGCAAAACCTATAGGTTCTATGTTATAGAACAAAGTGACTTTATTTATTAAAACATTCGATTATTGAGTCAAGAGATGCAATATTTGATGAAAACCGATTTTCATCAATGAGTAGACCTAAGGATCTACAAGCGAGTACCAAAGGGAAGGAAATTGTTGATTATGATGATCAACTTGATTCTCATGTAAATTCATCTAATAATGAGGATGAGACTCCTCATGTTAGAAGAAGTAAGAGACAAAGGAAAATTAGGAATCCTCTAGATGACTTCATAATTTATTTGGTTGAAGGATCTAGGGATGTCCTTAGTTCTACTACTCCATATTGTTTCAATGTGGATAGTGACCCAATAACTTATAGCGGCCATATCTTCCCAAGATAGTGCATTTTGGAAAGAAGCTATAAATGATGAGATGGACTCCATCATGGGAAATGACACTTGGGTCTTAGAGGATTTACCTCCCGGTTGCAAACCTCTTGGTTGCAAGTGGATTTTCATTAGAAAAAGGAGACCGGATGGCTCCATAGTGAAATTTAAAGCCAGACTGGTAATCCAAGGCTTTAGGCAAAAGCATGGTGTCGATTATTTTGACACATATGCACCGGTTGCAAGAATAACCTCGATAAGGTTGTTGATTGCAATGGCTTCGGGATATAATCTAGTGATTCATCAAATGGATGTCAAAACGGCATTCCTTTATGGAGATCTAGAGGAATAAGTGTATATGAAACAACCCGAAGGGTTTGTTTTGGAAGGACAGGAAAATAAGGTGCGTAAATTGGTTAAGTCATTGTATGGACTTAAACAAGCACCAAAGCAGTGGCATCGGAAGTTTGATGACATGATTTTGTCCTTTAGATTCAAGGTGAATCAAGCTGATAAGTGTATTTATAGCAAATTTGATGACAAAGGTCATGGTGTCATCATTTGTCTATATGTTGATGATATGCTTATTTTTGGTACAAGTCTACAACAAGTAGAATTGACCAAGGAATTATTATCCTCATCTTTTCAGATGAAGGATTTGGGGGAGGAGGATGTCATTTTGGGCATCAAGATAATTAGGGACAAAGGAAGGCTTATATTAAGTCAGTCTCATTACATTGAGAAAATGATCAAACGGTTCAATATGTTTGATAAGTGTCCCGTGAACACCCCCATGGAACCCAATGTAAAATTGGTTAAGAATTCGGGGAAAACGGTTTCCCAATTGGAGTATTCAAGGATAATTGGATCCTTGATGTATGGCATGACAAGTACAAGACCAGATATTGCATTGGCTGTGGGAAAACTTAGTAGATTTACAAGTAACCCGGGTGCACAGCATTGGTTTGCAGTTCGAAGGGTCTTGAGGTACCTTAAAGGTACATTAGATTATGGTTTGTCTTATAGTGGATTTCCTTCGGTTTTAGAAGGATATTCTGATGCAAGTTGGATCACTTTCAAAGAGGATGACTCTTCTGTAAGTGGTTGGGTGTTCAAGTTTGGGGGAGGTGCCATTTCATGGTCTTCCAAGAAACAAACTTGCATTGCCGATTCCACTATGGCAGCAGAGTTTATAGCTCTTGCCTCAGCTAGTAAGGAAGCTGAGTGGTTGAGAAATCTCATGTTAGAGCTACCTTTATTGCCTAAGCCAATCTCACCGGTGGCTATTCATTGTGATTCGAATTCGTCTTTAATAAAGGCATATAGTCAAGTGTATAATGGTAAGTCTCGGCATATTTCACTTAGGCATAGCCTAGTGAAAGAGCTTATCAATGATGGGGTCATAAGTCTTGACTATGTTCCTACGAAAATGAATTTGGCGGATTACTTTACTAAAGCAATGCCAAGACATTCCATCATATTTGCTTTGACTGGAATGGGTTTATGTCCTAAAGCACAAAGTTGTGAAACCCAATCTAACGCTTGAAGAAACATCAAGTCTTAGATTCAATGTGGTTGAATTACAACTTTGTTGTTTGTTAGCAATATTTGATGACCCATATGGCTATGTTACTTGTGACGGTAAGGTAGCGTCAATTCAAAGTTCTCAAAGATTTAGAGTTGAGAAGCTCTAAATGAAAGTGTCTTGTCACAAGGACATACTTACGTATATGAGAACCTACCTATATAAGTTCGAAGTTTTGCCGCTTTAAGAAGTCTAGATGGACATATAGACTTTGATGAACTTATGAAAGATACGGACACGTGGCAGTATAAAAGTGTCAAGTGATGTTAAATTCGAGTTATCTTGTGTGTATTTCACCTTCGAATGATTAGAGATATCCGTGTGATTCAATCCATATGGAAATCATGGGATATGATCATCGTTAAGTGTGCTATACTAAGTGTCAATTCAATCCGTAGGGACATTGACATTTATGCATAAGATGAAGCTTATTTGATAGAAGTAGAGAAGGTTTTAAAGGAACACTCTAAATGGGGGAGGACTGTTAGATATTTAGAGTGTTGATGGTTGCACGTTCGTGAACCATGAAGAGCGTTCGCGCAAGGTTGGCGCGGCTGAGCAGAGAGCGCGCCTAAACCGCGTACCTCTCTGGAAAATTCTGACAGTTTAAGGTGGAGCGCCCGCTCTTTTAGGTGGCGCGACCGCGCCATCGTTAGGCGCGCCCGCGCTAAAACCGCGACCCTTACTGGAAAAATCGGAATTTTGGAAGAACGAGGAGGAGCGCCCGCGCGAGCAAGTGGCGCGCCCGTGCAGCTGTGGTGGCGCGCCCGCGCTTCCTCGCTCGCGCCCGCGCAACCTCCCTCGACTTCGGTTTTGCGGTTATTTCTTATATAATGTAAGAAGGCCCTTATTTTGTGAGATACGAAAAACTGATTTTCCTCTCTGAAATTCTCTCCTCTCTACACCTTTATTGAAGAAACTTGCAATCTCTTCATTAATCCTCTATCATTTAAGTTAATTGTTTGAGAATTTGATCATCTTTCTACACATTTAAGTGCTTAAAGTGTAGAGTTCGTCTATTGTATCTCAAAGCGTGTTTCTGGTTTAACCCAAGCACCGTTGTGGGGGAAATTAAAGCTTTAGGAAAGTGTTCTCACGCCTTAGACGAGTATCAAGTATCGAAGACTCACGTGGTCCATGGTATTTTCGTGTTCTTAGTTGATTCATTGGCTAGGAGTGAGGCAAGTGATTTTCTTCATACTTGTAGTTTAGATTAATCTCTGTAAATTAACTTTCTAAACTTGTTGGTGTTTGGTGTGTTGGTGTAATTGTATTATATTACATTGTAATTTCATATTATTCAATTTCTAGGGTTAGAATTTGTTCAAGTATTAGCATAGTTTATAACAGTCCTGACCCAGGCAGAGCAGAGATACTCATTGGTAGAGAAAATGGCCTTGCTCGTTGTCACAACTGCTAGAAAGCTAAAACCGTACTTCGATGCTCATGTAATACAGATATTAATAAATTACCCGCTGGAGAAAGCCATGTAGAGAATGGATGCCTCAGGTAGGTTACTAAAGTGGGCGAAAGAATTGACTGAGTACGAGCTGGAAATCAAGCCTAGGACGATAATAAAAGCTCATGATT